AAACAAAATGAGAAGATGAAGAGCTGTTTTGTTTTTGGTATGAGAAGAGTTTGCTGTGAATTTAGTTTCGACAGAGATGAATATAAAGAGAAGCATTATACAAGACAGCACAAATAATGGTCCATGGCTCTACAATACAGTACAAGTAATGGTCCTTGACAACTTTACAAGACACCACTTAACAAGATACAAGACAGCACAAATAATGGTCCGTGACTGTACACTTTTTTCTGTTTGATACAAGGCAGTACAAGTAAGAAAAATTGTCTGTGATTCTACAACTTGACATCTTTTACTCTGTGTCCGTGACTGTACACTTTCTTCTTACCTGTATTAAGAAAATGAGAAGACAGAAAACAAGACTTAAATATCACCATTACAATAGAACAAGAAACATGAAACAAAGACAAGGAACAAGACTTAATTATATATCACCATTACAAGAGAACAAGAGAAACCAACATCAAACAAGAGAAACTAACATTAAACATACTTGAACATGAAGCAAAGACTTAATAAAATCCGAGAATTTAAGTAAACATCACATGGGTAAAATTTAAACTAAACGGGGAACAACTCCTTAATTAAACTATTCTTCATAGTTTCTTCTAAATCAGGTAGGGGGCTTTTTTTCCAAGGAGCCTCTCCAGAAGCCTCATCTTCAGCTGCTTGTCTTTCCTGTCCAAGTCCACTTGCTTGATTGACCACATTGTGTGAAACTGATCCAACTCTTTCCCTTCTACCTCCGGTTTCTTCCCACGGGCTTTTGCAGCCTTAACACCAATGGGACGACTGGTCCCTTCATCACCTTCCTCACAACTTGGACCGTCCTCAAGCTTCCTTCTTTTGGAACTTCCTTGAGATTGACTCAAAGAAACATCACACCATTTCTGGTCGTATCGAAGCTCCTTCCAAGCATGCTCGAGTTTGAAATTCTTTTTGTAGTTGGTTTCATAAATTTTGTGGGCATTTTCGAGAACATCATCGTCGTTTTCCCACTGGTTCTCTCTCGGACTGCCGCTTGATGTGCTCCGCAAAACTTGCACACCAAGTCATTCATCTTGTGCCACCGCTGCTTACAGTGCCCCGCCTCTCTTCTCTCACACTCAGAAATCTTAGGACTAGCCGAGTAGTATGATGAAATCCTTTTCCAGAAAGCAACAGATTTTTGTTCATTCGATACAATGGCATCCTTGCTCGTGTTAAGCCAAGCGCTGATGAGGACTATATCTTCAGTTGGCGTCCAGGCTCGCCTTTCTTTATGCTCCGCAGTAATGTTTGAGCCTTCAGCTGCTTGCGTGCGAGAGAAAGAAATAGGAGAAGACTCTAAACCGACACCACTTTCTTGTTGACTTTGAAGAATATCAACAAAATTAAAAGGCATATATGGATTGGGATCCTTATCGGAATGTCTTAAGAAGAGAGATGAACCCGAGAAAAAAAAAAAAGAGAGAAAGCTGGAAGGCAAGTTTAAACTGAGGAAAGGAAGGCGGGTTTAAATAAGGAAAGGAAGACTAGTGAAATAGAAGAGAGAAAGCTGGAAGAGAAGATAAGAGAAGGCGCATTCATCACACTCACAACCACATTAACTTGACATATAGCTAACTAATTTATCACAGTTAGGCATTGATTTGCTATCTAACTTATTAATCACACAAGCGTTAGACAAGAAGGATTCAGAGCATAGGTTTGCTTTTGTATCTACCCATCAGTTATATTTATTACCGTTCTCAACCATAATCTTACAGTAAATCAAATCATTAATTACACTAAACCACATAAGCTAATTCAATTCCTTTCAGAACAGAGGAAGAGTAATACTAACCTCTATTGATATTGTAGTCCGGAGCTTGATCCCCTCCTCAGCTATCAACCCACAGAACATGGCAAAAGCGAGTTGATCCCTCCATCTCACCACAAAAGGACATAAACAAAAAAAAATTAATGAACAGAAGGAAGCAAAATAAACCTAAACCGAGCACAATTTATGAAACTCGTTTTTTTAGTAATGTGTTAGCACAATAATGAGATGCTAGTTGTGTGAATATACTACAGAATCACGAAGCTGAGATTGTTTGGAAGAGAAGAGAGAAAAGCAAAGGCTAAACGCATTCATCACACTCACAACCACATTGACTTGACATATAACTAACTAATTTATCACAGTTAGGCATTGATTTGCTATCTAACTTATTAATCACACAAACGTTAGACAAGAAGGATTCAGAGCATAGGTTCGCTTTTGTATCTACCCATCAGTTATATTTATTACCGTTCTCAACCATAATCTTACAGTAAATCAAATCATTAATTACACTAAACCACAGAAGCTAATTCACCTCCTTTCAGACCAGAGGAAGAGTAACACTAACCTCTATTGATATTGTAGTCCGGAGCTTGATCCCCTCCTCAGCTATCAACCCACAGAACATGGCAAAAGCGAGTTGATCCCTCAATCTCACCACATAAGGATATAAACAAAAAAGTTTTAATAAAACCGAGCACAATCAACAGAGAGAATCCAAATCATAATTCATAAACTTGCAATAGACACCACGAGATTGTAGTTTTATATTTTAAACATAAACCAAGAAGATTCAACAGACTAAACATTATAAAAATTGATAAATTTTTCAACAAACATATCACAACGAATTGAAGAACAAGAAACTGAAGCTTTACCTGTTCGATTCTCGGAGAGCCACCGAGAGAGAGAGCTCCGTAGCCGTAGAGGAGAATCACACCTACAAACAAATAAAAGTTCCAATTAGAACAATATACTAATCTAAGATTTGTTTTGGTTTAAGAACAAAAAAATAGATTTACCTTTCGTTTTGAGTAGATCCACAGAGATATACCGGTCCTTCGCCGTCGAGGAGGCCCACGGTGAGGTAGAGAATCAACATGCACCGAGAGAGATATTCGTTGTCGTTTCCTCGAGAGGGAGAGAATCAACATGCACCGAACCACGGAGAGACATGATTCCGTCTCGTCTCCGATCCACGGAGAGATGGAGTACCGGCGTTTCATCGAGGAATCACAGAGGCGATTTTTCTATCGCCTTCTCGGACACGGAGGAAGAGAAAGAAATTTCGAGAGAGAGAGAAAGAACAAAACACAAAGACAAACACTGGTCCTCTCTCTTCTCTTTACCCAACACGTGTCACAAAATACCGTATGCTTGAGACACGATATAGCATATGCCTCTTCCTTTAATTTTGTTTTTACCTTTTCTTTTAATACATAAATAACCTAAGATACACCCTAAATATGTGCGTTAATGCTGCTCTTGTTAACTCCTCCAATCTTCAAATGATACATTTTTTAAAAAAAAACTTCAAATGATACATTACCAAAACTTGGTTCGTTATGTTTTTTTCCTCGATACTTCCAATTTTCTTAATTGGCCACCTTTTATTAATCTTTCTCTTTACGTTCACACACTATAAACATATTTACTGAGATAACGTTTTATATTTTATGATTATTTAGATGATTTTTTCTTTGGATATTGTATTTGTTTATTTTTAAAGATTAGGCTATCTAAATATTTTATTAAAATACATTATAATAAGTGTTATAATATATTCATCAAATAAGTATTAAGAAATATAACATTGGTATCATGTTTAACCTAATGATCTAGGGTACTTCAGTTATAAATTAATAAAAGGTAAAAATTTATTATAAAAATAAAATTAAATAAATCTAACAAGTATGGGTAGAAAATAAAAAGTTATTACATATATTGATATAAAAATATTTTTGCCCTCAACTAAAATTATTTTTATATTCGTTCCTTGCTTAACTTCATTTATAAAGTAACCAGAACCGCCCAGAGGTTATGGTTCCAGCTCGGAGGACCTTAAAATAGTTTGAAAACCTTCAGGAAATATGGCTTTATCGACTATTTGAGTTACATGGCCATTTACTTCGTAATGGGCCGTAAGCTCACTATATATTCAACTTTTCCGCCATCAAAAAGCTCTTGAATCTCCAATTTGAAAAGAAGGCTTGAGATAGTGTAGATTGGAGATTGAGAATTTTCAATATAAGAATGAGAAAAGCTAACTGGATCTTTAGATCTATTGATAACTACTTTCAAACAAACGAGTCAGCAAGTTACAGGAACTAGTCATCGGCCGGAACAGTGAGTCGAGTTTTCTTCATCACTCGAACACAATTACATCTAATCTAGAAACAGTGATTAGTTTTTGTAATTGATTAAATCTGGACCTAGGTTTCGTTTATTGCTTCCAAAATCCTAATCTCAAAGCAAAAAGGGGGATATGACAAAATTGGTAGCGCTACAAACTTAATGGGATTGAGTCTTGGTATGGAAGCCTACTAAGTGATAACTTTCAAATTCAGAGAAAAACTGGAATTAACAATGGACAATCATGAGCCAAACCCTAGGTTACGCGAATAAAGCAGAGTTTAGAAAGCGGGATACCCTTAATACTTTATTGACGATCTCACAAAGATGTAATCTCAGTGAATATGAATTTACTGATTCGTTTTTTACATAATCGATTCCCTACGAAAATATCTTGAGTTCGGTATGTATGAAAGCACATGAAAATCTTAGTCCATTCCTATTTTAGGCGGAACCGAATTCTTTGTTTCCAGTTAGTAAGAAGGACATTGAACTAAGAAATAGATTTTAGAAACTAAAAATAGATAAATGCGAGCGGCTTCGTGCCTCACTGGAGTGATCCCAGACATATTGTCTGTACATAGGGTCGCACAAACTGAAATTGAAACTTGATGTTGCGTGTAGAAATTTATTGAGGCATCAATGAAACAACAAGGGAAGGTTCAGAAGATGTCTATTTTATTGCACCTTCACACTTTCCTGACAAGACTACTACGTTGAATTGAGATATAAATAGATGGAATATTGTTATACATTGAGTTTCATTATCAAGGTTTTTGAATAAGCTAGACTAAGATTAGTTGTTTTTTATATTATTATACCAGTTTGCCCAAAAAACGTCAAGATGCACGAACAGAGTTCTGCTGTCAGATCTTTGAGATGCGAGGAGGAAGCAGCTGTTTTACCCAAGGTAGGAGCACTTGCATATATGTAACTTTGTTTTTATCCTAAGAGACTTTATGGTCTGTAGGTGGTAGTGCCGCAGTGTATTATCACTGTATGTGGTTTGTTTTCAGGAGAAGAAAGATCGTGGGTCTCCTCCACTTTGGTACATAAGTGTTGAAGAACTTAACTCCCTCTCATCGTAAGTACAGTTTACTTGTTTTCCTCTCCATGTTTTATTTGAAGCGCATATTCATTTTTTGAGATGTTGTTCCTCAAAAATAGATACATGAGAGCGATGAATGCGGCTATCAATGACATGGCTTCATACACTGAAGCAAATGCTTATCTCATTTCAGCCCGAAAACAAAAGGTATTACTAGTACTATATATATCATGCTTTGTCTATCGGTTTTGGGATTTGATTTATATGGCGACTATTGTACTGACTCCTTGTTTGTTATGTTGTGGAGCTTGCGGAAACCTCTGGGAGAAAGCACTAGTAAGCTACTTCTTTTGAAGAATGTTAATATGTATTGTTTTATGAATTCTTATCTTGCTGAGAAGGTAGTGAGGAAGGAAACTAGGAGACATTGTAGCAACGGTGCAGTGAAGGGAAAACATTTCTTTCTTGAAACTGACATGAAGGGAACAATTTTTGAAACTAGATCGCACAGGCAAAGCAATACTTACAGTAAGTAACGTTTGTTTTATATATGTTGTTTCAACTCTTCACGAGCAATTACATAGCTTTTGATGTTTTTATAGGTTCTTAAACACCTTGGTCGTGTTAGTGAGACTCGCATCGGTCAAAACTGCGTCACTATTCTTATGAAAACTAATTAGAAAAGAATCCAACTCTCCTAAGTTTGTCCGTTTCCACATGCGTAATCCATTTCTTGCTTCTTCTTTTAAGCCTCCTATATTAGAAGGGTTTACTTGTTCTTTGACCGTATTGAAGCTACTCTTTAGACTGTTCTGCCCAACAAGCCCCGCTAGGCCCGGTACGACCCTCGTTACTCTTTTTTAAAATCTCATATTTGCACAAAAGTAGCAAAGCTCGATATCCGTTACTACGTTATAGTTTCAAACTCCAAGCATTTGTGGAAACTATTTTATTATATATGGTTCAAGTTCCAGTGCACACAAATAGCCTGTCACATTCAAATCTACAAAGCAGCAAAACTCGATTTCCGTTTTTATTTTAGTGACTTTTGAATTTGCTTTTCATAGCTTACTAATATACATAAACAGAGCATAGTATTGAGCAGAGCATTATTATAATTACTATTCATATGGTCTGAGAACGAGAAAATACAAAGAGGAAGTAAGAAGTGGAAAGGAGAAGGTGGTCCATGGAAGCAGGGGAGCAAAGACTATTTGCCTCAGAAAACATTCACAATTTCACGTTTATCTATAATGTCTGTCCCAATCTTTTTTTCTTCTTTTTTCATATAAAACCAATTATTCAATTTTCATTCGTGCATTAACACAAAAGAAAAACATTATGCATAAAGACAAATCAAATATTAACATACTACAAACACTCTTATCGTGGAAAGATTTTTTGAAAAATCTTGTCACATTTATTACCAACCAACTGTAATATCAAATGATTCATTTATAAGTTGTAACCTAAACTTTATAGTATTTATAAGACGAGACGATCATAAATTCATTTGCAGCCACGTTTTTAGACTATATAGTAGTTCTCCATCACTATTTTACTTGGTCTCTTTTCAAACGTATCATTTAACTCAGCTAAAGAAAAGATATGGTCGGCCCAACGCATTTAATAATTGAAACATTATACGAAGACATTATTCATTATTTTCAAATAAATATTTAAATTGTTCGAAAATAGATAAACATAGAATTATACTACTACCACCTTTAAGCAATACACAGACCAGACAAAATCAGAAGACCTCCTTTCTGTTTCCCTGGTATTCCATATTTAACTTCATCTTAAAATTTGATTCGTTATTTTAGATAATGATTTTTTCCCTTAATTTAAAAACATTACTATTAGACTATTGTTGTTACGTTACGTGTGTTCATTCTACTTACCACTTTAACCAACTCCATACGGACCTAATAGAGCGGCGCTCGTTGCGGCGGCGTATTCTTGCGTCGGTTGAAAAAGTTCACCGGAGCCTCCGTGTTGGTCGAAGCAACCGCCGTCGTGACTCTCCGACAAGTCGTTGTCAAGCTGCTTCTCTTCTTCCTAACGACTTCACTAGTGGCGGTGCAAGCTAGCGCCTGACACCAGAACATGTCTACTCCTCCGTCACCGTCACCGCCTGACTCTGTTGGTTCGATAGTGGAGGTCGGCGTTGATGTGGTGGCTCCTTCGTCCGTTAAATGGAGAACGTTGCAGACGTGGAGAAACCCCGAAAGTCCTCTTTGTCTCATTATGACGTCACTAATCTACAACAAACAAAAAGACAAAATTTCCCTGTAATTATGATTCGTACACGCGTTGTGATTAATGGTGCATCGAAAAGGAATAAAACAAAATAAATAAAATCTAAAATCGACCCAGATGAAGAAAAGTGATGAATCGAATTGGGTACTTGATGAAATTTGAAATGAGAACATAATTAACGAGAAAAGATGTTCCTTTTTAAATTAAAAGAAACAGACCATCACCTTGCAGGAGAGAGAGCAGAAGACGTAAGGAGACTGGAGAGACCGGTCACAGGTGTAACAGAAGTTACCAGAGCCACGAAGCTGTCGAGAGTGAGGCCGTTCATTGATGAACAAAACCTTTGAACCGTTCGATATGTATGGCTTTAATCATCATCAAACACATACATACAAAAACGACAAAAAAAAAAGCTTTAGGGCACAAGAGCCGATGTAAATTAGTGGATTAAGAGAGGTGTTAAAGGTAATAAAAACCTGAATTAAAGAGCAGTCCATTAGTTTGGTGCCATCCTCTACCTTCAGAACATCGTTATACATGTATCTTCTTATCTACAAACGATTCCAAAAACAGAAAGTTTACAACTTTGAAGATAAATTAAAAAAAAAAAGTTTAGAATTTTGTTTTCTTTTACCTGAAGAAGACGATGAGAGGTATGAGAAGGGAGACAGTGAGGGCAGATGCTAAGACAACAGTCGATACACAAAATGTTTTTCTCGTTCTTCTTTTCTTCTTCATGGTCCAAACAAGCGTTGAAAAACTTCTCCTTTAACAACACCTCAAGCCATGCAGGGAATTCTTTAGTTTCCATCTGCAAAATTGAACCCAAAAAGTTTCAGTTTCGGATCTTTTGGCTAAAAAAATGAAAACTTATCATAACCCACCATAACTGAACTTTCTATCTCTTCTTTTATCCTGGGAGGTTGGTTTACTCGGGGAAGGGATAAAGTTTAGCTAAAGGTCAGGCGAATTTGAGCTCTCAGTGGTGAGATTGACTCACCATTCCCAGCAAGAGAGAGAGAGAGAGAGAGAGAGCGGCGCCTGGAGAGAGTGACTACTAGCTTAATTTAAATGAGTCATCTCGTCCTTTCTTTGGAGCCTAGGACGTGCAATCTCCTCCTTAATTTAATGTGCTTTTGTTAGTTAAAGGTAATTTGGTGATTTTAAATTGATGATTAGGAGATAAATTATCTCACTTAGGAATTAGGATCAGGTCTATCTGAGGTTACGTGTATAGATGAGAGAACGCAATGACAAAATATGATAATTGGGGTAATTATCATTACCTCAATAGTTGTAAATGAAAAGTTTAATATGGAATTAAGAAAATGGTTCCGTGTTAATAAAGTTACAAGTTAAAGATCAAATAATGTCACAGAAACTATTTACTTGTGGTAATATTGTTTTTTTTTTGTTAAATCAAATTCTATTGATACAAGTTTTTTAGCGTTATTTATTTTTCGTTGGTCTCTTGTGTGGTTAACTGTGCAAAACTGCTACATGACAAGACTCTCTCCCCTAACAGTCTACTTTTCATTTTCTCAATGGTAATTTTGTAAACAAGACATACCTACTATAAAACAAATTACTACTAATTGCTTAAATACAAAAAGTTGTTAATGTGAATAACAAACCCAATTAAGTTTAGTAGTAGTCCATATCAGCAGCTAGGAATATAACCATTATCATCCGAAATTAGATTAAGCAGTATGTAAAAAAAAAAGAATAAAAAAAATGTAAGTATTATAACTATTTTAGTAATATTGGAGTTAGAAAAATAAAGAGAGCAAATTCCAAGAAGCAAGAGGGCCGCCTAAAACCTCTTGTCACACAGCTGTAGACTCTTCTCGAAAACCAGTGATGCATGGGGATTTTATTATTAGCTCTTTGCTTATACAACTAAAAATACCTATTCACACTAGGCCTCCTACATTGTTTTTGCTTGCATAATTTAAAAAGTTAACTATCAATTTGAATAGTACGATTTTTGAAAATAAATTCAATAATTAAGAAAGAATCTTATTTTATTTTAAATAAGTGACAGAGAGAGAGAGAGAGGGGAGATGGGACAGAGTAGTTGGTACGGAGGAGGAGCAGCAGCCTCAGGCAGAAGACGACGCACACTGCTTTTGATCTGATCTGATTCGATCCACCCAGCTGTCCCCTTTCTCGTTAGAGCTTTTTCTAGTTACCCATCAAGGGTACTTCCGTCATTTTGTTATTACATGGGCTTTAACACTTGTTGGGCTACTTCCTCTCGGCTCATAACCGTTTAGTTATTCTGATTTAGGATTATAATTGACAGCATTAGCATATAAGAGATCAGCATATAATCGATATTGGTAATTAAGCGAAATGGCGTCGTTGCAGAACGAACTGTAGCTAACAACCAAAATCGTTGGTAACCAATTGGTCAAATGAGAACAAGGGACAGTGACACACGACCCACGATTTCGTCTTCATTTTATGATTTTCATGTCCCACAAGTCATTAATGTATATCTATAAATATTCATGCCTTTGTGGAATCTATGCACAATGTTGTGATGAATGCGGACCGGTAACGAAACCATATATACTAGCTGTGTTGGCTTCAACTTTTACTACATCAAACAGAAATAATAACTTTAAAACTTGGTTGATTGATAGAGCTCACATGATTTAGTGCTACTTGAGATGAAACTAGTATTATTTGTTGTGGTTTAATTACTCGAGTATTAGAGGTTCCGACTCAAAATTTTCTGGTAATTTTAAGGATTACGGATTTTCTTTTTGGTCAATTGGGATTACGGAGTTATAATATCAAATTCAAACCGATCATGCTTGTTTTTCAATAATATACTTAGACGGACTTAAATTCATGTGGTAATTAAAATAAGATACTAATAAGACTAACCCAATCAATCATTATCCTAGTAGTTCCATATGTATGAAAAGTTATACATCATAATTTGCTATATTGATCAGGCTGCAGGCTGCTTAAGCTCTCGATCGGTTGTGTTTTTATTTTGTAACTCGAAATGGTTATGTATATTCTTATAAAGTTAAAAAAAAAAATTAGCACGAACAAATGTTTGATAAAAGCATCACAAAGACGTGAAGAAAACAAAGAAAAACAAGAATCGTGGAGATATTTTTTGGAAGACATGTATTTGTAAAGGTGACTTCAAAGCTATTATTAGTCTCTCAGTGGTCAATAATTGATACATTGTTTTCTTTTACACCATTATCTTTATACGAGTAAAAGCTTCGTCTTACTAATTTATACATTGTTTTCTCTTACACCATTATCTTTATAGCAAGACTATCAATTATGATACATTGATATTAACCTGGAGTTTTAAGAAAAAAGATAAAAAAAAAACCTATTTAAGATCTTATTCTATGTTTCACTTTAGTTATAGTTTAAGTTTATATACACAAATTAAAAAAAGAAATATTTAATTTTATATATTTTTAGATAAAAACACAATTATCTATATACCTAACCACTTTTAATCACTTTTTAACCACTTTTTAACCACTAGAAACACATAATAATATATAAAGATAATAAATTTACCTTGAAATTATAAAAAGAAATACTTATTAAAAAAAAATTACTGAACAATAACAAATAAACTAAAATGGAGGGAATGATATTTTGGTTACTCAAATATAAAATATAGAGAAATCTGTTCAACTATACATAAAAAAGTGCAAACTCATCATCTAACCAAAACAACCATCTCTTTCTTCATATCTTTTTCTATCTTTCTCTAAATTATTTTGTCTCTTTTTATTTGGTTATTTCACAAATAATCCATTAAATATATAGATAGATATATATATATATATATATATATATATATATATATACTTTTTGGTCAATCTCAAGTATTAAATATAAATCCCCTATATATTAAAAGAGAACCATTTTAAAAGTTGTAACCTTAAGTTTGTAATAATTAAAAATAACTCAAATCCTATGTGGCATAGATCTTTGTCTTCTATTTCAATTTAGAACGATTCTAGAACATGCAATATAACGTATATTCTAAAATTATACTCTCTAGCAATATAATATTTCGAATGCTATAATTGGTCGCATATATCAAATATTTATTGTTTCGCATGCTTTCCTTAAATAAAACCTACGGAATTACCTAATGTGATTAATATATACATATATATATATGAAAATTAATGATTTTAAACAATAAAGATTTGATAACAATCTGTATAATTTTTTCTCATTTTGTTTATTTCTTTATTACTAAAATAAATTACACAACTACATTAATTATATAATAAAAATCTAGATTTTTTTTTGTGTATGTTGTATTTTGAATTTTTCAAAATGAGTATAAATTACTAAAACTGTTAAAAGTTTCATATAAACTTTTAGGATCAAGGTTTTAATTTTTTTTCTATATTAAAATATAACGATTATAAGACCATATGAAGAAATAATTTTAGCTTATATATATTTCATATCGTTTAAATTAAACTATATATCGTATGAAAATACATACTTATATTTTGATATTTACATTGAACATATATTGAAAAGTTTTTTTTATTGTCATCAAAAGAAACAGACTCAAACTGACTCCAAAAACCATAACGGCAGCTTCGCATCCATGTGAACGACAAAAGACAGTTACTTCCTGACACTCCGTGCTAGGCTATCCGACTTTTTGTTTTGTGTTCGTGGAACATGAATAATCTTTGAGCTGAGAAAACCTTCTTGGAGGACCTTGATGTCTTCCAAATAACTTGTAAAAGCATGCCATTCTTCTGGTTCCGCCACCATCTTTACCAATTGAAAACAATTTGTTGCAAACGTAACCCGAAACTGACGTAGATTCCTCATACATTCCATCGCCCATATCAAGGCCTCGACTTCGGCATGAAGTGGTGATAAAGATGCTCGAACATTTCTTGCTCCCATCAAACTATCAAAACCTGCGAGAGTACTATACCAACCTTGCTCTGAAAAAGACTCATATATTGAAAAGTTAAAATTTTAACTTTTGAAATATGTCATTGTTTTTTTTTTAAATGATTATAAATTATTGAAACTACTAAACATCTCACATTAAAAAAATTTGTTGGTGTAAAGTTTTGTTACACAAATATGCAAATAATCATAAAATCATATTAGTAGAAACCTCATTTAATAAATATTCATATTAAAAGTGTGCTATATTACTATGTTTATATCATTTAAATTTAACTATATATCATATACAATATATAAGATTGATTATTTGATTTATTTACCCTAATTGCGAATAAACAAGAGGGATAGTTAAATTTATATGCATACGCTAATTTATTACATAATAGTAACTGATTTCTTAGTTATCATATATATATAAAATATATATATGCATACGCCAATTTATTATATATATATATATATTTATTATTTTATAATATGCAAAAAATATAAAATAAATACTTATCTATACTAATAAAGTAGGCTTATCTGCCTGTACAAGAGTCCACGTCTTCTTTCGGATGGGGGGGTTTACTGACACCTGTCAACGTATGAGTGGTTGCAAGGTTTTAAACCTGCGGTGATTATTAAAGAATTGGGCTTCATACGGAACAATAAGCCCAAGTCGCGTCTAAACTTAAAACCCGTGTCCGCTTCTAAGGAAAAGAAAATATCTTACTTCTTCCCCGACTCTCCTGCTTCTCATCTTTCTTATTCCTCTGTTACAGAAAAAAACTCTAACATCGATTCAAAACTGTAACGCATGCCCTATCATAGTTTGTGTCATTTATTTTCGAGTTTATACTCGATTAACACACTCCTCTATCTTTAAGCTTCCTTAGCAACTCTTCACTTTCAGAGAAACCGACTTCATTTCATCTATAAATTGCGGTCCCTGTGAAGATGAAAATCACAACACAAAAGAAATCTAGAAACTCTGGGAACTCGAGAAGAAGTTATCGATGGCGAATTCATACACGTTACTTGCTGACTTGAAGGCTGGGAGATGCTCGAACACGGCGGAGATCCGGCTACTACGTTTCTGGGAGGCCAGGAACCTGAATAAAAACAACCAACTCATGAGCATCGACATGTTGTTGATCGACGAGGATGTAAGTGGCTTTCAAATCTGAAAAACTCAAATCTCCATAGATTAGGTTTCTAATTTCCTCTGGGAAAAAATTATAATTATTTCTGATTTTTGGGGTTTTACCATAGCGATGCATTATAAAGTCATTGAAATCTTGAATGTTTATGTTTGTAAGTGGCTTTCAAATCTCAGAAACTCAAATCTCCATACATTATGTTGCTAATTTCCTCCGGCAAAAAATAATTATAATTATTTCTGATTTTAGGGGTTTTACCATAGCGCTGCATTATAAAGTCATTGAAATCTTTATTGTTTATGTTTGTAAGTGGCTTTCAAATCTCAAAAACTCAAATCTCCATAGATTAGGTTTCTAATTTCCTCTGGGGAAAAATTATAATTATTTCTGATTCTAGGGGTTTTACCATAGCGATGCATTATAAAGTCATTGAAATCTTGATTGTTTATGTTTTTTGTAATTCTTTCGTATGTTTAATTTTAAAACAAAAGATTCTTATTCCTGAGGTTTAGCAATTTAGATGATCGGTAATGTCATACACATCTGAGTAGTTTATGTTTTTCTAATTCTTCCCTATGTTTGAACTGAACAGTCGACGCTGGTGCAAGGGTCTATTCCTGCATCCTTTCATCAAACTTTCCGGTCCCGAATGTCTGAAGGATCGTTGTACCGCATTAGTGTGTTTGATGTGACACGAAGCAGTACAAAATACAGGCTCTCTGATGCCCCTGTAGCCATCCGGTTCAATGAGGCCACTGATTTTCAAAAGCAACTAACAATCACACGGCAGATACCAACAGAATTCTTCCGGTTTCAACCATTTGACCAGATCCGGGGCCTTGCAAATAGTGGAAAACAGTTGCCTGGTAATTAATTTAGATATTTAAATGAGATTTTGGTTTCAGAAAATGGTTTGCTTAGAACACAATTAATTTTTACGTCGTCTGTTTTGTAGACGTGATAGGTGAACTCCGTGTCCTAAAAAGCACCATCACTGACCGTCTTCCAGGAGCACCTCGCGTAATGCTGACAATAAGAATGGCAAGGTGAGATTTTTCGCTTTTGTCATTTAGGTTGAGAATAACCTGTCCGAGTAACTCTTTGTTTGTTATGTGTTGCGTTTCATTTCCCAAGTGATGATGAAGTCTGCGTTAGTTTGTTCGATGCTTTGGCTATTGCATTCCATGACAAGTTTGCAGCTTACGGGAAGGAACCTAAGATTGTCATAATAACCAGCATCAATCCAAAGATAGTTAGAGGTAGTTTATAAATTGTTGAAGGAAATTTTACGATTACCGTTTTACCCTCCACTTCACAATGGTAATGTGTTGTCGTGCTCCCACAGGGAGCTTATATCTCAATGGCACTTCCGCTACACGTGTATTCTTTGACTGTGAAACAACGGCTGGGAAAGAGGTTTACAACCGGCAAGTGTTTTTTTTAAATACAATTTTAAATTTCCCATAAACAATACAATGATGACGTGCGTAGCCTCATACTGTTTGTTGTTTGTCCTCTTGCATCCCACTCAGCTTGCCTGGCGGTGGCGCGGACCAGGAAGGATCCTCATCCAAGGTAGTTCATGCGCAGAAGATCGAGCCCCTCACCATTAAGGAGCTTAATGACTTTGTCTTAACCGGTGAACCTCAGGTTCAAATCCAAATCATTAGTCTTGCCTTACATATTAAATTACTCACAACTAAAACTTGATTGCATGTGCTAACAGATCATAGAGTTCATTTGTACTGCAACCATTACTGGTGTTCAGCTCGATGATGGATGGTGTTACATTGGCTGCTCCATTTGTCCTAAGAAACTTCAACGGGAGGAGTCATCATTCACCTGCGTCTCATGCAATCTACCAAATGCTGTCGCTGAGCTCAGGTTTGTTGTGCAATCTGCAAATTTGTTTAAGCTGCAAAGTTAAATAACCTAACTACTGTAACCAACAGGTATCGAGTGGTCTTCTCTGTGTCTGACGCCACAGGCACAGCTGCATTTGTTGGTTTCGATAAAGAGGTTGCTAAACTCACTAATGTCCTGGCATCGGAAGCTGCGCAGATAGTGGTGTGCCTAAACTGTTTCTCTTTAATTTAAGTTTGCTATTCCTTAGCTCATACGTTCACCACACTGTACTTCAAATTGCTTCAGGGAATTGGCGCGCATGCTGCTGTTGACACTGATCTCCCTCGGTCTCTAGCAGCAGTCGTTGATAGGACCTACACTTTTCAGCTTAAGTTAACCGATTTCAACTTCTCCCCCAATCACCAAACCTTCACCATATCTCGGATTTTCCCAGCGCGACAGCTAGCACCAAACCCCACGTTTGCTGTGCGTGTTGTACCTTTTTCTTCCTTCCCTTTATATTTGATTGACTTATTTCTGATTATTTTGTCTTCGACATTTATAATGTTAGGAAGGTGAAGGTACAACGGCAGCAGCAGTACCTGATGACACCGGAGCAGCTTCTGGAACAACAGAGACCAACTCAGGCAAGGTCGTAATGCAGCCCATCGCTCCTACGAATCCTCTTGGGGTGCTTGACCTCTCTGGGGAGGAAGGCTTTGAAACAGAAGGAAATCCACCCAAAAAGACACGTTTGGGATGAGTGCTACTACTACGCTGATTGACCACCACTTTTCTTCCTTTGCATTTTTCATTATATTTAGTTTCTCGCGTTAAACTTTATGGGTTTTCCTTATCTGTTTTTCTAGACTTCTATTTTTTAAACGGGTTTGTGGTTGGTCGTTTCTATTATATGATAAAGTTTTCTACCATTATTTAAATTCCTCTGCATGCTGCGCTAAACTAAATATTTAAATTCCTCAGCCAAACTGTACACACCAAGCAAGTTGCAACCATATCATCCGTGTAAATTACAACTTTCAGACTGGTTATAAAAATTACAATTACATCCACGAAGTGAAGTAATATAAAACAAAACCTCCGTATTGTGTTCAAAAATGGTTATAGAAAGTTTAATAATGTTCAAGTTTATACTGAATTTCAAACTTTGAAAACTGCTGCCATGTTTATTTGGTTGCAGTTCCCTGTGAAGAATGAGTCACGTACAATTAAACAAAGTAAGTTATGTTATGAATCATTGATGTAGCATTTAGATAATATTGCTATTTTTTTTTAAGAAATTCACCTGCAGTGGAACGCTTCCAATTACATAGACGCAGAGATTATGGTGTATCTTTTCCTCAACTGTTTAGAACGTACTCACCATTTCAAAAACTGCACATGGCAGAGAACTTTGACTTCAGGAGTAAAACACCGGTAAGCCTTATCATCTAGAAATGTTTAGGAATTCTTGGTCTTCTACTTATAATTAACTCCAGGTTAAAAACCTGGGAATATACTTTAACTTTTGCTGCATGAAAAACGGTAACCGTTATATTCCGTCCATTGACCTCCCAAATAAAATTATGAAACATAAAGTCAGGCATTTGGCCAAGTAGATTTGGAACTTCCAAACCTTGCTGTGTACGTTTTGCCAACTTACAGCTCCAGTAGATTATGTCCTTTCGATTCTTTGTTCTAAAACTTATAACTCATAGTCAAAGCTTCTGTCCTCGCCGCCATGAACGCATCGGAAGGGCCCTCCCGGAAGAACGAAAAGTTGGTTAATATTCCAACGGCGCCGTCGTCGTCAGGGACTAAAAAAAGTCATAAAAAAAAAAAAGGTTTGGCCTGGAGAGACGCACTTACCAATATCTGCCACACTTTGCTAACGTTTGATTAATACTCTATCTTCCTCTCAGTTTCTCATGAACCCCCACCTTGGTTGCAACAACGCAGTACACACCTTCCAGCATCAAACTTCATCCGGAACAAATCAAAGCCTGATCCCCAAAAAGGTAAGCATATCTCATACGTACAAACATTGTTCCACCATCTTTACTTGCTTAGGGCGTTCGTGTTTATAATCTTGCTAAAAAAATGCAGTGACAAAGGCCCGGCTTGCCCGTAAACACCGCATACAGTTGATCCGTGCGAGACGTCTTGCAGCTTCACCACCTGAAGCCATAACTCCTGAACAGCCAGCCACGGCTCCTCCGCATGATTCACCCACAAATGCTGGTAAGGCAGATTTTAAGAGTCAGACACTACTTAATCTTCCTCTTTTGGAAGTATGTTTCATTTCTAAATTTTTTCACACACTCATATAAAACAAAAAAAAATGTAATGCAAGATTACATACATTCGTTCACATTTATCTATTTCTTGGTTAACGTCTGCACAGCTACATCCTATCAAAACATGGAGATAGAAGATCACTCTCACAATAACAGAACTGCCGAGGACAGCAACGCTGGTGAGCTTCTGGGATACATCCAATAACAATCTCATCTGGATCCTCACGCATGTTTTTTAATTTGTTCTGCTTTTCTTTTTCGTGTGGCTGAAAGCTAACACACGGATCACTAGAGCTTTACGTATGAGGAAGAGAAAGTCAACTGCAGTTCCCACCCAGAGTAAGATTACAAACGTTCTATAACTTATCATATGTCCTTCGATTCATAACGCGGTCTCTACTACTTCTGAAATTTAAAACTGCATTTCACAGCTGCTGCCTCTACAAGTGGTAACCGTTCAGGTACAGTGTCACTTGCAAATGTCCATTATACTTTTCCTTTCTGGTTCTTTACACCGTCTTCTTTTAAAAATGGTGACAGTCAGGTATCGCCGCCCAGTGGTGAACAAGTGGGACTTAGTCACATGCCCGGCATGTAAAGCTATTGTCTGGAATGCAGAGGCTGTTGTTCAAGAGACAGAGAAATCTCCAAGAATGTTCAGCATATGTTGTCAACAAGGCCGTGTTAAGCTCCCCCCTAGACGTGAGCCACCTTCGCCGCTTAAAGAACTGCTTGAAAAATCAAGCTTCAAGCTCCTCATCCGAATCGCAAATGGCCTCCTGGCCTTCACATCTATGGGGGGAAAAATAGATAACTCCGTTACTAACGCTCCTGGACCTTCAACATTTAGAATTCATGGCCAAACGCACCACAGGATAGGTTCTCTTATTCCACCAGATGGAACCTTCCCCCAGTATCTGCAGCTCTATATAGTGGACACAGCTAATGAAATAGCAAATAGAAAAAAGTCCTTCACCAAGGGAAATGCGCCTGTCGATATTGCTGACGATTTGGTTGCTGAGCTGATCAAAATGCTGGATGAAAATAACCACCTGGCTAAAACATTCAGACATGCTCGCGATCGTATCCTATCCGGGGGAGCAGCTGAGTTCACTATTACATTGGTTAACCAGAAACACAGAGGACGACAATATGACTTGCCTTCAGCCGAGGAGATTGGTGGATTGTTATTTGGGGATTTCACTGCTAACTCTGCGGGTAGAGATATAGTTCTTGAATATAAGTCATCTAAGCTCCAGAGGATTAGTGATCTACATCCTCTCTACATGGCACTTCAGTATCCGCTGCTTTTTCCATTCGGAGAGTATGGGTACGATGAGCGGATTCCTTATCAGGTGACTGAGCACTCCAAAATAAAAAGAGAATATATGACGATGAGAGAGTTCTATGCTTATCAGGTACAGACTAGGCCAAGTGAGGGAATGACTATTATTAAGTCTGGGAAATTGCTTCATCAGTATATTGTTGACACTTACACTGCGACCGAGCAGGAGAGATTGCGTTTTATCAGACTCAACCAGAAAAAATTACGGGCAGAGTTGTACACTAACGCCTGTGATGCATTAGAGAGTGGAGACACAGATGCAAGCAAGCTTGGGACAAAAGTCATCTTACCTTCTTCTTTCACTGGAAGCCCCCGCTATATGTCTGAGAAATATCAGGATGCGATGGCAATTTGTCGGTGGTTTGGTAATCCTAATTTGTTTATAACATTCACAGCAAACCCTAACTGGGTTGAACTTAAAGAACATTTAGCAGTTTATGGTGGTGGCTCACCTAACGACAGACCAGACCTGGAAAGCCGTATGTTTAAACTCAAATTGGAGGAACTCATGGCAGATTTTAAAAAAGGCGTCTTCTTTCCTAAGCCAGCTGCCAGTAAGTTGATATTTTAAAATCAATTTCACATACTCTGCAATTCCAAACAAATAACGTGATAAACACTCAACATCACAAACTTCTCCACCCTAACGTATAATCTTATTATCTTTTACAGTTGTCTACACCGTTGAATTCCAGAAGCGAGGACTCCCCCATGCACACATCCTCCTTTGGTTTGAAGGGTTCAAAGGAGAAGCAACAGCTGAGGTTATTGACAAATATATATCGGCAGAACTGCCTGACAAAGCAACTGACCTCGAGGGTTTTGAATTAGTTAAGACCCACATGATACACGGCCCTTGTGGGAGGCAACGACTGCTATCGCCGTGTATGGAGAAAGGGGAATGCACGAAAAAGTTCCCCAAACCGTTTTCCAACGCCACCAAGATTGATAAAAATGGTTTCGTAGTATACAGAAGACGTCCCAATGGCGGAGCCTCTGTTACAAAAGGGAAGACAGAGCTAGATAATCGGTTTGTGGTACCCCATAACCTCTCTCTCCTCAGAAAATACAAGGCCCACATCAACATTGAATGGTGCTGCAAGACAAGTACTATCAAATATCTTTTTAAATACATAACAAAAGGGGTCGATCGAGCACTTGCATTATTTGAAGAAACTGGCAATAAAGACCCTGTTGCTATAGAGAAAAAGAAAAAACAACTTGAACAAGATGAGATTGATCGATACACGGAATGCCGGTACATCTCAGCATGTGAAGCCGCTTGGAGATTATTTTCTTTCCACATTCACCACAACCAACCTACAGTTATGAAGCTAATATTGCATCTTCCAGGTCAGCATAGGCTGGTCTATGACCCCGATAGGAGTTTGGAAGAGGTTTTGTCTCAGGAAGATGTTGAGAAAACCATGTTGACAGCATATTTTGTAGCCAACCAAACATACGAAGAGGCGAGAGAGCTTACCTATATTCAGTTTCCTTCACGGTTTGTGTATCACAGTGACCTTAAAACGTGGACTCCACGTAAGCAGGGCACAGCAATTGGAAGACTAACTTACGTTCATCCGACTGCAGGGCCTAAGTACTATCTTAGAATTCTTCTAAATGTCGTCAAAGGTGCGTTCGGATATGAGGACCTCCGAACATTTGGGGGAACACTGTTTGAAGAGTTTCGTGATGCTTGCTACGCCCGCGGGTTGCTAGACGATGATAAGGAATGGCATGATGCAATTGTTGAACCATCACACTGGGCTACAGGACGCCAACTCCGTAGTTTATTTGTCCTCATTTTGCTTTACTGTGAAGTTGCAGACCCCCACAAACTCTGGGACCATACATGGAAACTTCTATCTGAGGATATCCTCTATATGAAACAAAGGGAATTTAACTTCCCCGGTTTGATTCTAGGTGACCAGGAGCTACAAGAATATGCTTTGCTCGAGATAGAACGGCTATTGAAAGAGAATGACAAATCATTAGAGGATTTTGGAGGAATGCCAAAGCCAAACCCAAGTGCTTTAAAAGAAATTTCAAATACTGTCTTGCGTGAGGAGTTGAACTACGACACTGAGAAAGAAGCAACAGTTCATGAGTCTCTGTTCAGGTCCATGAATGAAGACCAGAGAAGCATTTACACAGCTGTGTTGGACTCCGTAGACAAGCAAAGTGGTCGCCTGTTTTTTGTTTATGGAGCTGGAGGGACTGGTAAGACTTTCTTATACAAAACTATCATAGCGAAGCTAAGATCAGTTGGTAAGGTCGTCATCCCAGTTGCATCGGCAGGTATTGCAGCTTTGCTACTCCCAGGTGGCCGCACAGCTCACTCCCGTTTTAAGCTCCCTATAGAGTTAACGGATCAGACTGTGTGCGATATTACAGCTGCGTCTATGTTAGGTTCTCTTATTTCAAAAACAGACCTTATCATATGGGATGAGGCCCCAATGGCTCATCGTCAAGCTTTCGAAACTCTAGACCGGACGCTTAGAGACTTGCAATCGCTTGAAGATCCATCAGCAGCTGACAAACCTTTCGGAGGAAAGACAGTGGTTCTAGGTGGGGATTTTAGGCAAATTCTGCCTGTTGTACCACTCGGCTCTAGACAAGACACTGTTAAGGCATCAATCAGCAAATCATATCTTTGGCAATTTGCAGAGGTTCATACCTTAACAACTAACATGAGATTGAGCCAAGCGGACAAGGAATTCGCTGAATGGATTCTAAGCGTCGGAAATGGTACGGCACAAACCGTGGAGCAAGCCGGGAGAACACATGAAGATGGGGAGGAAGTCGTAATAGACAGTGAATACATGATACCAAGGTCTGCAACTCCATACCAGTCAGTTTCAGAAGCTGCCTACCCTGATTTTGTAAGAAATTACTTGAATCGCACATACTTGACAGAGCGGGCGATATTGGCTCCAACAAATGCCTGTGCACAGGAAATAAACTCCTACCTCCTCTCTAAGGTACCTTCTGCAGAAACGGAATTCCTGAGCTCAGACAGTGTTGCTTTTGAGAGCACCCCGGAAGATGACTGGACCACTAACTACACAGAAGAGTACTTAAACTCCCTGGAATTTCCAGGTTTACCTCCCCATAAACTGTGTCTGAAGGTCGGTTCTCCAGTAATGATGCTTCGGAATTTAAGCCAGAAGAATGGGTTGTGCAATGGTACACGGATGATGATTTCACGCCTCGGCAACAGAGTCTTGGAGGCTGAGATTCTGACAGGCACACATGTTGGTGATGGTGTGTTGATTCCAAGGATACAACTAACCCCAAACGACTCTGTCCACCCTTTCACATTTCGAAGAAGACAGTATCCTTTAAAACTGTGTTACGCGATGACTATAAATAAAAGTCAGGGTCAAAGCCTAAAGCAGGTTGCTCTCTATCTCCCAAGACCAGTTTTTAGCCATGGTCAACTATACGTTGCTCTGTCGCGAGTCACATCACCAGACGGGCTCAAGATATTGGACGATACCGATGGATCAACAAGAAGTGATGTCGTCACAAACATTGTGTACAGAGAAATTTTCAGTGGTCTTAGCAGATGTGAGTGTTACAGTTAACTACGCTGACAATATACTTCATATACAAATGTCCAATAAAGTCATCACTGAATAGAATATCTCCGTTTCAGGTGCATCTGCAAATCACACACGAGTGGTCGAAGCTCCAGCGAGTTGCAGCTCTTCCAGTCATCCGTTGCAGTGACAGTAGAGGTGATCTAATGATGCTAACTTATTTTACCATAAACTCCAAAAACTCACATAAACATTTTTTAAAAAAAAAAAATATTTCTAACACTCTTTTGTTAATTTAGGGGCCAAACACAGCTCCCTATGATGGCAAACCACAACTGTTACAAAGGCCATGCCAGTCTGATAGTTTATGCGTGCTTATAACAATTTTTCCACGCCTGCAGTCTGCACTTTCGTTACGTTGACAATGTCTTACATTTTGCAATGTTTAGGAACAAAAATTCAGTTATTTACGCTTGGAATATATTAAATTACGTCGATTTCTTGCTGTTCACGCAAACGAGTACTATTGAATAACGTTTTCTTTCTCTCCTATACAATACATGTTTGCTAGGAAAATTTAATTGATGTGGAGTAGGCGAGTGTCATATGATACACGAAATATAAAAATACAAATACGTCAAAAAAAACCTACACAAGTGGCACTATTTAGCAGAAAATTAATGTGTGCAAAGTATGTTACCATCATAGAGGCCCACCATGACTTAAGAAATCTAAAAGCCTCGAAGAATTTCATGGCTTCGGTCGTAAAATTTATGGTAGTTAATTAGGACAAAAATTGTTTCAAAAATGCAAAACCAAAATTACATTCTAGACTTTACAAGGGGGAAAAAAAATAAATATAGAGACCTCCTCAACACCATAGAAGTGAAGGCAACTTTCTTGCATCATGTACATTCATATACCAATCTCATACCTGTTAATCATCAAAAAATATTATATTCTTAAAGGTTTCCAGTAACTTATTACATTCTCTGACTTCAAAAACCACAATACGTAACAAATGTAATGCAACATGAAAAGCAGGGAAAACGTTTCAATTTCTTCCAGAAAAGCCTCATAACACAAAATCTGACAAATGGAACTAAGTACTAGAAATAAATACCATTCCAATTAACTATGCTTCATTTATCCAAATAACTTCAATTAGAATCAAGAGAAGCAGTTACAAATTTGGACTCGAGAAGTCCCTAGCCAGACTCTAGGACTCTATAAAACATCTAGCATATTAGCCAAAATAACCAAACCAAAAAAACACTCAAAACTAAAGGGGAAGAAATGGAAAATCAAGCGCCTCCTTCTCTTCTAGAAACCCTCCCCCAAGAGCTCCTCACCGATATCCTTGCTCGCGTTGCTGAATCTTCAGTTCGAGACCTAGCCCCTTGCTTATTGGTCGCCCCAATAATCACCTCAGCCGTCAATGATGATCATGTCATCAAGAACCTCAACCTTCGCAGGCAAGCCAGGAACCCTTTGAGAACGTTTTTTCGTTATCAAAAACTAATGAAGAAATCACTGAAGAGTGATCATCCAGCTGCACATTACGTTGAAGGAATCAAACAATTCTTCATCTACGACAACAGACACAAAGGGTTACTCCACCTAAAGAAGGCTTCCGAAGGGTCATACGACAATGCTACCTATCTCTATGGTATCCTAAAGTTGTGCATGGGGAGGATTGAAGAAGGTAAGGCTGTTCTAGCCACCCTTGGATGGGAAACAGACAAGCGCCGGACTAACGAGGCCTGGAATGAAGTTAAGAAATCCATGAGGGTTGTTTTTGTCATTAAGAAACCAGAGTACCTTGCTTCTTTGAGGAACAACCAACCACCACTGAGTTGCCACAAAAACGACAAAGACAACATTTGTGCAAGCTGCTTCCATTACAAGATGATGCGCAAGTTCATCGGATTTGTCAGCCAGTGAATCTGAAGACTATTTAACAAAAAAAAAAAAAAAAATTGCTTTTCAATTACCGCTTTTGTTTTCAATTCCTAGGTTTCTCAGTGCTCTTTTTTTTAAAATAAAACTTATTTCTTTTTGAAAACCAAAACTACTACTACCATGCAGAGCATCACAATTTCTTAAGTGCAGAAGCCGTGTTCAACCACACAATTTAGCAATCAAGCACAAATACTCAAATCTCTAAAATACTACATACTCGACAACACGAACCTTCTGAAACGACCAAGGCACCGGGAGGTTACCGTGTCGAAAACCACGCCCCCAAAATAATTTACATGTACTCTGCAACCGCCGGAACACCCAAAATTTAATACCAACTACACAAGCCGGCGCCGGTCTAGAATTGCTTCAAAACAATTTCTACGTCGTCGAGGCCTTACTCTACCGAGACACACAAAGTTACATTTAAAAGTTTGGGCCCAAATCCAACCCAAAAAAACAAACAAAAGCCCAACCTCTTTAATGAACACTTCCGGTTCGATGACAAAAAAAATAGGGGAAAAAAAAATTGCTGCCGTAACCCGAGCTAGAGAACGTCATTATCTGTAAAAGAAAATATTTAATTAAACACCTAATTAAAAAAAAAAAAAAATTCACAACATGCTCTGCATTAAATTAAAAATCACTGAAGAATAAAAACAATTACTCACCGAAGATCCTGCAAATAAATTAGGAATGAGGTGAAGGTTTACATATCAAATACTCAAAGAGAGGCCATTAATGCTCCCAAAACCCTCAAGAAATTTACTATAAGAACTCAAATTTCCCCAATCACCAAGTTGTAACGAAACACAAAAAAAAAAATTAAAAAGAAGAATGGCACACCACAACCCCACGAAAATTCTGCTGAGTTTGCCATTTTTCATCCAAATCAAAATAATGATGTCCATAGCAAAACATTCGGTGGAGTCATTCCAAAACGTCCTAACCGTATTCCCAAGTTTAGGCCCGGCTGCAAAAACCCCAGACGTCCTCAAGCAACTAAACTTTCACGAGCTTACCACCAAATCACTCACAAATATACTTCCGTATCACAACCTACTCAACCTCTCTCTTTCTGTAGGCAACTTGGAAGCCCTTTACCTACGTGGCATGGAAGAATATTTCAAAAATGAAAACATTACTCAGGGTTTGGAATATCTCCACCTCGCAGCTCAGGGTTTTTATGATAATGCTATTTATCTTTATGGTATAATAATGTTATCTAGGGGCCATCCAGCAATCGGCATCCCAATGCTAGATTCACTAAATTGGAGAGACGACAAAGCAAGATCAGATGTCTGTTGGCAAAACATCAAGACTTCTCTTCATGGAGTTCAAGTTAAAAGATTAGACATATACATCACAACTTACAAAGCCACGAGAGCTACAATTGCATGTCATAGGAATGATATGAGACGGTGTGAGGCATGTTATTATTTTAAACAAATGAAGAGATTTATTTTCATAATGTAAACCAAAAAATAATTGCTGCATGCCATATGTGAGACTAAACTATCAAAATTAAAATAAAGGTTTTTATAAGGCGTATGTTTTTTCCTTCAAATTTCCTTCTGACTCTCAATTATTATTTACTACAAGTAATCGCTGAAAATAACAGGTAAAAGAAAAAACAAATGCACTACCGAAACCATAATACAGAAACTGACTAATTCAGCTAAACACTACATACAATTATATTCCTAGACGAACACATGAAACACAACTTAATCTAACCGCTACACTTAGTCGATGAAATTTAGTCGTTAAAAAACCAGTCGGCTGGAAAAGCACCTCTTAAAACGGCTACGCCACATAAATGCCCTTTGTTCTAAGAGCAGAAAGTTAACTAATAGAATAAGATTTTAACACCCAAAAAAAAAAAAATATGATTGCTGGAGGACTGATATACACACGGATACTAATAATATTAACGCAAATATCAGCAATCATTACCAAAATCAACAAAGTTAAAAGAACCGTAATATCTTTCAAAATTCAAAACTTGATCTGCACGAAAAACAAACAAACAAAAGATAATAAACATTTAAGAAGATACATTAAAAAACTCAAACATGCTATCTCTTTTTCACTTTAAATAAAATTTCTTACCCCAACACAAACCCACTAAAAATCAAAAACTAAAATATAAATTACTTCTACCTAATTATATAAACAATACATTTCTGATGGTCCCGAAAAAAAACAGTGATTTTCTTAAAAAAAACGGAAACTTACATCACCGAAATTCTTTAAGTTAAGTGTAACGCTGAATCTTAAATGTATGCAATTTTGAAAAAATGTTTAATGGGAGATTAAAACCACCAATGATCCGATTCCGAAAACGTAAAACCTTAAAGGACTCAACCAAACCGATCGTATCTACTTCTCCTCTGTACTATAAAAACGAATACAGCTTACAGATAACTCACATCCATCGTTAGAACCCTAAATAAAAAAATGTCAACAAAATCAAAGCAACCTTCCACACTAATCTCCCTGCCGGAAGACCTACGCCTTCTCATTGTGTCTAAAGTTGGGAACGCATCACCCGAAGACTACTTCAACACAATCATCTCCTGCAAAAGCCTCAGCTTCAGCTACAAGAACTACGACGTAGCAAAATCCCTCAACCTATCAAAGATTGTTCAGAGCCCAACACTCGCTAATCAACACCCGTCTTTGCTCGAAAGCTGCGTCCAGTCCAACAACAAAGACGCCCATTTCATTGAAGGATTTCTACAGATCTTTGAATCACAAAACACGGCTCTGGGCCTACATCACCTCAAAATGGCCGCCGACGATAACCACATCCAGGGAACATACGTTTATGGTGTTATGCTCTTAGCCATGGGCCAGACTTCAACAGGCATCACCATCATCAACCAATTAACCGATACTAAAGGATTTGCAGTAGTGGAAGATTGCATGGAAGCCTTCCAACAGTCAGTTCAAACACCCAGCGTTCACATGAAAGACGTATGCGTTACCTCAATCATTAATATGTGGCTGGAACCTGACTGTCATCCTCGGACAGGAGGAGAAACCACAGTCTGCTCAAAGTGTTTTCACTTGGTTTTGCTAATTCACTTCTACAAGTTAGTTATGGGACTCAACGACGTCCTGGAGTAAAACAACTTCTAAATTACTTTTGCGTTTTTTTTTAATTTCCTTACTACCGGGGTTAACAATAACACGACTTTACAAGTCCAACTCATCAAATCACGGGAATATCTTATCAATTGCTTTTTATTATCTATGTTTTCTCCAAGGAAAAATTCCACTTTCAACTATATATGTATCACTAGCATTTAAAATAGCACAGAAAAGCAACAAAAAATCGTACTCCACATTCTGTCGACAACAACTTTCTTATAAAACATTACAATTAAATTGGACCTTCAATTGACAGTCTCCTTTACAAGCTGTACCTTCTACATACAATGCATATTATAGTAAACAAACCAAGAACACAACATAATTATTGTTCACCTTTAAGCCATAAGACATCAACACCCGGCGCGTAGCGCCGGCCACCCCCTAGTTGTGCATAAAGTGCAGATCTTAACATAAGTATGTATCCCTTTAATTATTTTAAATCTTAAGTATTTTTTAAATCTCAGGTCAGAAAAACAAACGAAATGAGAATAAACTTCAAAATAAATAGTTATATCGAGTAATAACTAAAATAAAAAAACAAAACAAGAGAAAACATTGAAGATAAATAGAATTGACACGTGAACGTAAACTTCTCATAACCATAATTGATTTTTAAATTGTTAAATCGTGATATAAAACTGTGTTAATTTTTAATTTGTTAATTTTTAATTTTTTAAAACTTTTTAAATCATTATGGTTATGTTAAATTATTTATTTGTATTTGAAAAACTTAAAATATTGTTTTTAAAAATAATTAAAATTTAACTTATTTTTTTATAAAATTGTTTAATTTTTTTTTGTAAAAATCTAATTTTCTAATATTATTAGACAAATAAATAAATTATATTAAATTAGTTTTGAAAATTTATATATTTTAAATGCAAATATTTTATGAATTGCTTCTTAAGAAAACATTATGGAACTTACTAATACTCTACAAATCAAACCGAGTGACACTTTGTTTATTTTCCATCACTCGAACACTAATTATCAAACTAATGAAATTCTGAGCTTTGATCTATACTTCTAATTACAATTCTTTCTGATCCTACATATAGATAATTATGTAAAGATATTATAAAATTTCAAATACATATAAAAACAATCATATGTAAATTTTAAATTTGTCAATGTTAAAATTTTATATTTTAATTATATACATTCCCCTACCCTCACGTCTTATCCTAGTGACATGCAATTTTTTACAACTAAAAAAAAATCCATGCAGAAAAAGGGGAAAAGGTGCATACAAAAACAGCACTGTTACCAATTAATTGTGTTTATTTCTCATCTCCACAACACAAGTTTTCAAAGACTAGTGTATTTTGGCTGATGAGGAAGATCGAGGATCGGAGATAACGTGAAGCCGACGCGAAACAAGGAAAAGTGACAAAGTATATTTTTTTCCCCCTTTGTAGATTACAGGTTAATTTAATTCAATTAAATAGTTAGATAAATTAGATTTGGTTTGGTATAATTAAAAAATATTAGCGTTTTCAAAAGGTGCATGTTATGCTGTTGTATCTTAAGCTAAAACAATAATGGGATTCAAATCTTAAAAATGACTTTAAAATAAATTTACATCAAATCAGTATCAGCACCACTTTAATTTAAATTGAATTTTAGAAGATTGTTAATAACCAACTGTATGTCAACAAATTCCATATCTAACAGCATTTAATTCTCAATATCAAGTTTTATGAATGCATCAAACAGCAATAAATTTAATGGTAGTCTATAAAGTTAAATAATAATGAAAACGTATAATTCCATTAAATTAATAATTTAAATCACACTAGATCTTTTGCCGTATTTACTTTATCCCATAGTTGTATGCACCTTTTCCCCTGAATTTTATATGTAAATTGTGATTCTCACAGCGAACCGGTGATGAAGGTGTGTCTCTGGGATAAAGCCGCCTTCGAGTTCTGTGAGAAGTTCAAAGCATCTGGAGCCAATGCAAGTGTTATTTTGATCACCACTTTGAATCCAAAACGGTTTGGAGGTTAGTGTCACCGCTTTTTTTTTATTTGGTTTTTGTAGATTATAGATGGCATTGAAAGTAGGCCACTCTATGTATTTAAGTACTCTGGCCCAGAAATATTGTATGATACTGGTTCAAATTGCAATTTCTAAACCCTATACTGTTTATTTGGAAATTGTGTTAATAGAAAAAAAAGAACTTAAGGGGATAATCTAGATAGGACATGAATACATAAAGTGATGCTAATTATTTTTGCTTTAGGAAAAAAATTCTAAGGTATCCAATATGATTGTATTACATACACATTTCACTTTGATTAATTATGGCATGATTTCAGTTCTCTAACATGGTTTACGTTTTGTGATAGGCGTTTTATCTCTGTCTTCTACTACGGCTTCAAGGGTATTCATAGATGCTGATATCCAAGAGACACTCTCATATCTCAGATTGTAAGATTTAAGGTTCGATGTTTTTTTAAAAAAAAGTAAAGGTCCTACACATCTGCCATGGCTGATTTTACTTGGTTCAGGTTGGAATCAAACTTCGAAATTGCCAACAGGGTTAATGCAACAGTGGTGACGAAGCCTGAGACAGTAACTTTGGGTGATCTCCTCACTTATATGAAGCAGGAATCTGCAAAGGTATTAGACTCATCACTATCTACCACATTAAATAGGATCATGTATGTATTTCATCAAATTTACTCTCTTTTTTTTCCAGGTTGTTTGGTTTGAGTGCACAGCAACTATTGATGATGTTGTGCATGGAGCTGGTTGGTACTATATAGGCTGTCGTGGTTGTCATACCAAGGCAATCAAAGGGCCAACAACTCTCATGTGTAAGAAGTGTGGGAAGCATGACATTGATGCTGTGCCACAGTAAGTGATTTGCTTTTGCGATCACATTTTTCCTTTAGTTGCAACTGTTTTTAATAACTCTTTATTGTAGGTACCACTCGAAGCTATCTGTGTATGATCACAAGGATCAAGCTGTCTTTGTACTTCTCGGTGATGCTGGTGAGGAGTTAACTGGAAAGAAAGCTGCAGAGTTGGTTGATAGCTACTACCAAGTATGACTGGAACTAGCACGTTTGTAAGGTTTTATAAGTTAATTTCAAATTTTTTAAAAAAATGTATTAACAATGTGTAAATCTATGTCAGGCCAACGAAATTGAAGGAGAGGATCACATTGTCCCTGTGCCTGAGGCTCTGATTAGTACCATAGGACAAACCAGAAAATTTGTTGTGAAGGTGTCTACCTATAATCTCACTGGCAAGTCCCAGAGTTTGACTGTGACAAAAGTGCTCCCACTTGAGGAAGAAGAACCCGAAGTCAACAATGAAGATGAAGCTGGAGAGAAAGAAGAACCCGAACTCAACAATGAACAAGCAGAGGAGTCGGTGAAAAGGGGTGGTGATGTCATTGAGGGTGAAGAAGCCAAGCGTCCAAAGCATGGCTGATGGAGTTTAGTGCTGTTTTTGTTTCAACTTTATATTTTTCTGTCTTTCTTTTTAATGGATTTTCGTTTGACTCTTTTTAAAACCTTGGTTTTGATACAATTTAATATTTTGCTTCCTTTTACCTCTGTAATGGATTCCCCTTCACAGCATTATCATAATCTTTCTAATGTTATTTTTGTTTCTCCTTAGTATTACTGGGTTTGGAGAAACCTTGGTGATTGACTCATTGGATTAGCCTTTTTAGTCAACTTATAGAAAATGGTGTTGTCCTTTTGTTATTCATTGTGTGATTGGCTTCTTGGTCTCTAAAGTTTTGATCTTTGGGTGTCCTTTTGTCTCTTCATTATTTAGAGAGATGGATGTTTTATTGTCATACTTGGTTAGGGTACTTAATTATAGCAGTTAATATGGCATGTTGAGGAACTTTCATCCTGGACATTTATATTTTGTTGAACAAAGGAGATATTTTTACAGTTTTAACTTGGGAGTGTTTTAAGCATTTCTGTCATATACGGCTTTATTGTTGAATTTGTCCTGATTTCCGATTGGTTATGGTAGTTTAGCTATCACTGACTTTGATGTTGTCGTGGAGTATTTGTTTAGATAAATCTCTAATGTTCGTCCACTGTTCTTATACAGACACATAACTGGTAAATATTCAAAATGTCCAACTTCCCAGGGTCTTTTCCATACTATCAAGATTGCAGTCATCTACCTACTCTCCTTGAAGAACATTTTATGTTTAGTGTTTTATTTGTCACCGTAAAAGCTACTATTTTAGTAAATCCCTACACTTAAATAGTGTTCGAAAGACATCCCTTTCAAATTTATAAAGAAACAATAACAAGATCACTGATTCGTTTTTAAAAATTAAAAAATAATGATAAGAATTATTTCCCTAAAATCCTATTTCGTTTAATACCTTTAGATACGTTTCAAAATTCTTTGGTTTTCAAGGTTAATTCGTTTTTAACAACTAAACCAAAATTATGAGAAAATAATGTTATATATTAATAAATATAATAATTGTGTGAATATTTAACTTTTTTAAAGAAATTATCTCATAACAATGTTTTGTAATTGTTAATTATCTTGAACCAACACTTTTAAAAATGAAGACCATTATTAAATAAAAACTTAAATGAAAATATTCTTTTCTCTTCTATAGTTTTTTTATTTAAGATAAGTTTTAAATACATCACTAATGTTTACATATCTCCCCATTCTCAGTCAGTGGCATAAGTTTTAATTTCACGTTGCTTAGATTATTGCTGGTTCCGATAAAGATTTTAACCAACAAGTTTATTCTTCACCTGAGTTTCTATTACTCACAGATGTTAGTTACGACTGATAATTTAGACAATTTGGATTCTCATCTGGCCTCACCCTTCCCTTCAGATCAGTATGGACTATAAGATAACTTAAGAATACTTTAGTGATTCAATAGCAACTTTGATAATTTTGATACGTTTGAGAATCAAACACAATAACAACTGGTCAAAAACAAAAACTCCCCAATTTAAGGCCTGGGTCAAAGATATGTTACAAGAACTAAACACAAATTAACGATTGGTCAACCTACATCTATATAAGACCAACTTACCACACAACCAAAATAAAAAATACAAACCTTACTGTCAACCAAAAAATGAATAATGAACCCTTTCTGCGGTTCACTTCTCACACCCAAACTAAACCTCCTGGAGTCACACCCAAGATAACGCTTCAGGTCTACATCCACAGACCCATGACACAACAATCAGTCATTGATTTCCAGCTACCAATCTTCACCGACAACGAAGGTAATTTAAATGAAACGGAGTACATTGATTTCATGTTAGGTTACCATCAAATAAAGCATGAAGACTCCACAATGCTTATTCATGAGATTTCGGAATACACGATGAAAATAATAACAACCAACATTCTCGAAACGAACTATCATTTTCAAGTTAACCTGACACTCACGGACAACAACCCCGAGGAAACTGTAAGACTTGACGTCGACCTCATCCTAACCGACCTTGAAGGAACTACCAGACCTCTACATACGGAAGAATGTAACGACACATGCACTGTGTGCTTTGAGAATTTCAACAACGGCAGTTACATATGCGCTCTTTCGTGCGGCCATCAATTTCATTTCCCGTGCATTGACGAATGGCTCCGTACAAACATTAGCTGTCCCCTATGTAGGGAGACGGATGTTTAGAGCCTTCAGTATCAAATTTATAAATGAGTTTCTTTTTTGTTATTGGTTTCACTGATTCACTTTGCACTGTCTGAATTCAATATAAAATAATAGTAATGTTTTTAAACTTCATCATATCCTTTCTATAAAAATTTAACTATTACACCTTAAACTGAAATTATACTTCCAGTCTAATAGCTTTCACAGCGAAAAATAAAAGCCAAAAACATGGATAATATTAACATAAGTTTTTCACACAAAAAAACAACTACTCAATTCTTGAGATGAAATATAATTTTTAAATTATAAAGAAATACAAAAGAGAAATAAGTGAACAAATGTGATAAATTATTAAGATAATACAAGAAAGAAAATTTATCATAAACACAACGTATAAAACATGGATTATTTTAAATTCACCCAAGATAATTAATTATATTAATAATAATCACAACCATAAAACACATGAGCCGCACTCGAGAACAAAGATTCTAACCAATCCTTAAATCGTTTTAAATTAAAAGACACATCTACTTCGAACTATTATGTTCTCCACCATTTTCGTATTCGATAATATCGGGGATTAGTGATGGATCAAACTTTACGCCAAAAACAAAGTATAATAACATCATTAGCGTGTCCATAGATCCCAACTCATACCATCCTCTCATTGGAAAAAAAAACATTCACCAAACTATTAACAGCAAGCCAAAGATTTTACCTTGGTCCAGAGCACAAAAGAAAGGAAATTTAAAATTGTTATCTTCACAAGCATTAATCCTAAAATTGTGAATGGTAAGTTTTTTAAAAACCAAATGCCAGAATATTATTTAATTACTTTTTTTTAAAAATGCCGTTTTTTGCAGGAAAGCTATAACTCCATTCATCCCCAGCAACTAAGTTCTGCTTCAACAAATCCATCCACTGCATCCAGGCCCGTCTCAAGTATCAAATGGGCCCTGGGCAAAAAAAAAAATTCCTCATGTAAACTCTTTTTTTTTTAAAAGAGGGCCCTAGTTTGGGCTAGAAAAAACGAAAAATAGTGATGGGCCCTGTGCTAATGCACCCTCAGCACATGCATAGGGCCGGGCCTGACTGCATCAGGCGATTCAGAGGAAGAGTACGCCCAACAGCAAAATCTTGAAATAAGACGGCCTTTATTATCTATATAACTATCAAACAGTTTAATATTCAAACTTTGGCACCTATCACTTTTAGAAACTATCATTTCAATACGAAAAAACTATCTACCATACAGAACAGAACACAACACGATTTTTAATGGTTCTAAGTGCGTAGATTTTATCAAAATTGTCATATTATAAACTAACAGATAATAAGGGTCAAAGGTGATAAAACAAAACCAAATAAAAAAGGCATATTTATATAAATAAATTGGTGATTGGATATTTGTCCTAAATTACACAAGCAAGACACCTTCAGCAAAATTACCCTCTACCCAACAACACTACGTTCTTCGTCCTCCTAACCGAACAACTGAAGCATAAATAAATAATAAAACATTCTAAGATTATTCTTAACTAATAAATTTTTCCAAAATTCATATCACAAACCTGGCATTGTTCAACTTTAAATTTGGTTCATAATTATACCATTAATATTATTTACATTTCTTTTTGGGTGGGTTGATGATATATCACTCAATATATTCTCAAACATACCCTATATTATAACTAACTATAATACAATACTAAAAACCCTCACCCTACACAGAATTTCCATTACTCTCTAATACACGGAAGAAAATCAGCCAGAACAAAAACTATGTACGTTTATTTTTAATTTAATATCTTATGCATCTTAGGTATTGTACGAAATATAATTTCTAAAAAAAAATAAAAACATGACACATCAGAAATAACCTGACAAAATGACAAAATTAGAAACTAAAACTAAGTAATTAGATCAACAAATAACCACTCCAGTCAATCGGGTTTAAAATCTCTCACAACGTGCTGACTAAATCACTTAAATTAATTAACTATACATCTTTTTCTTAATAAAATATAAAACAAAATTTCAACAAAACAACCCGGGCGTAGCCCGGGGAACGGATCTAGTAAATGTAAAAGGGAGAAAAGAATGTAGAAAGTGGATACTACACTTAATTTTCGTGCCGTTCACATTCATATTCATAGATCCGAGGGTTGACAGTTAACGTAGACGTAAGGTTAAACCCTTTATCAATTGTATCTTACAGATTTTCATTTCTTTTTATACTAATTCATTTTTAATCAATTCATTTATTTTATATTCTAAATAATTCGAAAATATTTAATACATAAGTACAAAGTATTTTTTTTTACCTATTTGTTAATAGATATTTTTTACATCTTTTTATTTCTCTTTTCATACTTCTTAACTATTTATTACTTATATTTATCTTAAAAATTCGACAACATTTATTTTACATATTAACTATAATAATTCGATATGTTTGAATGAAACAACTACATTTGTGACAAAAATTTAAAACTGTTAACAAAGAATTATTTATTTACATAATCAAATTAGACATATGCATTTAAGTACTCATTCAAATACAATTTTTCTGAGTGTTGAGATATTTGGATTTTGAAATTAGAATCCATTCGAATAATATAAACTTTTGGTTGGATTTCAAATCATATTTTTTAGATTTGGATGAATTCAATTGTGATGTACAGAAACTTCAAAATATTCAAATAACCAAACGAGTGCGGATATTTGTACTATAAACTATATTACTGACTTGGTTAAATATTTTGTATTCAAACTAAATATAATCTTAAATAACTATATTACCCTATTCGATTCATATTTGATTCTAATGTATAGAAACCTAAGAAAAAATTGAATATAAAATTAGTTATATAGTGATACATATAAAATATATAACACTAATCATAATATCAATTTATATAAAAACTAAAATTTAACATTTTCGTGGATCAATCCCTAGTTCATCTTATAAGTTCAAATCTCTAGGCCAATTTACAGATTAGTATGAAATTACATAAAAAAAATTTGGTTCAAAGAGTTATCTTAAAAAGTAATCAAGTCACACGGACTGAATTTAATTCAAATTCCCAAAATCTTAGTAACAAATTAAACTGAATGAAAATACAACATTTGTTGAAGTCTCATAGTTCAGTGATTGCATAGAAAAATATTTATACATTCTATATGGAGAAATCACAGAAAATACAGAATTCTAAAGAATAATGCATGCTAATATGAAGAGACTTACAAAAGATCTATATATATATATATATTTAAATCATTTTTTAAAAGATGAAAATAAAATGGTTATACAAAAAAAAATCCAAAAGGAATATAATTATCAGGTGTAAAATCATTACGAAGCCCTTCTTATCATTGTAAAATAATAAATTAATGTGAAGAATAAAATTTTTATGAACTTACTAAAATAATCATTTTGCCATTGATGTTGTCTGTTACGCAGTTGGTATAAACTAATCGTATTAGAAAGTTTTCAACATGTTACCGTTAACCTAATCATGTAAAAAGTCAGCGGAATTAGAGTGATGAGAGTGAAAAAAAAAACAAAAGAAAAACTATAATGTAAAAGCAAAATGACAAAAAATAGAGAGGAAAGGGAAAGGCATTTGTGCATTCCTTTCTTCCAATACATCCAAAGCATTAACCCCTCAAGCACAAACCTTGACGACATCTTTTCTTTGCTTTTAGTGAAAGGACAAAGCTTTGGTTTCTTCTTCTTCTTCGTCTTTGATGCGGTGGGAAGTGGAAACATCATCTCCTCCTCCTCCTCCTCCACAATTCTCCGCCATGTTCCAGAAACTAGCCATTGCCGTCAAAACCAAGACTTTCGAGTTCTTCACCGAAGACGACGAAAAGCCCCATGGTTTCTCTCTCCTCGACTCCTCCGAAGACTTCATCACCGATCAGAAAGTCGTCGTCCTCAAACCCGACGATGCCAAGACCAAGACTTTGGTTAAACCCAAGCTCTCTCAGATTAGGAAGTTAGATACCCAGATGGGATTGAGTCTGATCTCGTCCCTTTTCGCGACGGTGTCCTCTTTCGAAGCTTCGTATCTTCAATTACAATCCGCACACGCTCCCTTCGTCGAGGAAAGCGTCAAGGCTGCTGATAGAGCTCTCGTCTCCAACCTCCAGAAACTATCTGATCTGAAGCGGTTTTATAGAAACTATCGACAAAGTTTGGATCTTGAGACCGGTTTAGCTGTTGGGTCTTCGTGCTTAGAATCTAGGGTTCAGGAGAATCAGAGCAAGCTTAGAGCTTTGGGAACGGTTTCAAACCGGTTACAAGGTGAGATGGACGCTAAGGATTTGCAGGTTTGGAGTCTGAGGAACAAGTTAAGTGAGGTTCAAAAGTCTAACTCGAAGTTATCAAAGAGATTGTCTGCAAACTCTGGTGATGTTCTGTTATCAGTTAGGGTTTATGAGTCTATTTTGCATGATGCATTGAAAGATGTGAAGAAGTTCACTAGGGTTTTGATTGGGCTGATGGAAAAGGCTGGGTGGGATTTGGATTTAGCTGCTAGGTATGTTCATCCTGAGGTTGAGTATGATAAGAAGGGACATAACCGGTATGCGTTGTTGTCTTATGTTTGCTTGGGGATGTTTCGTGGTTTCGATGAGGCTGATGAACAGAGGTGTTGTTCTTCTTCGTTGAGGGAATTGATGCAGCATGTGCCTAGCAATCCCATGGAGCTTCTTGAAAGAGATAAAGATTGTGCATTCTCTAGGTTTTGCGATAACAAGTATCACGAGCTCATTCACCCGAACATGGAGTCTTCTATATTCAGCAACATGGATCAAACAGAAGCTGTGTTGAGTTCTTGGAGGTCTTTGAGCACATTCTATGAGTCTTTTGTCACGATGGCTAGCTCGGTCTGGACACTTCAGAAACTAGCATTGTCTTTTGATCCTGTGGTTGAGATTTTCCAAGTTGAAAGTGGAGTTGATTTTTCGATTGTTTTCATGGAGAATGTGTTGAGAAGAAAACAAGATAAGAAGTTGTCGGTGAATCCTACTCGAGCCAAAGTAGGATTCACAGTGGTTCCTGGGTTTAAAGTTGGATGCACGGTGATCCAGTCTCAAGTATACCTTAGTGGCTCCGAATGTAAATGAAAGAGACCAGAGGTAGGCTCAAGTTTCATCCAGTGAAGCTGGTTCAAGAGACTTGGCAGCTAGGAGAATATAAGGGTTAATTTTTTTTACTTTCTTACTCATGTGATTAACTGTGTTCTTAGAGTCTTGGTTTGGGTTCTGTAAAGAAATTTTATAATTCTTTATCTTCATCTTAGTAAGTTGCAGATTGATGATCATCAAATATAAGTTTTACTTTTACCCAAGTGTTTCTTTTACATGTGGTATATTTGATCGAATGTAACATTTAGCTGTGTGTGTTGATGATTATCAAATACTAGATATTGCCCGCGCTATTGCGCGGTGGCCAATTCCTTTCTATATATATTGTAAAAGTAAAATCAATATTTTTTTTTGACATATAGAATCAAATAATTTTTATTAAGAAATAACCAATTATATTTACATATATAGTCAAGACTTAAGAGCTATATATACATAATCAATTTTAGTCAAATCGTTACTTTTGGAATTATATATTGAAAAAACAAAATAACTGACTTTAACAACAAAACTGTACGTTGTCAAAAAAAAAAACAACAAAACTGTACAAAACTCACTGATCCAACGGTGACCACACGCCATTTCGCTCTTATTTAAACAACTATTTGTTAGTTATACAATTTCCGCATTATTTTCTAGATTCTTATCTTTTTCTTGTTAGTTTAATTATAATGCTTCTTAAACAACTATTTGCTTTTTTGAGTGCTACTATATCCATCTCAAAATTAGAAAAATAAAATATTTATTTTTAAAAAAAATCTCATGTACCATAAAACTGTATAACAAAAAAAATGCATGTGTAATTCGATTAACAAAACCAACATGTAAAAATGACGAAGTCAACATATAAGCAGAATAATGATAGTTTGCTTAAAGCCATAAATTATGGATATTGAAACTGTACATTTTTTTTTTGCTAAAAACATTGAAACTGTACTTACAGTTATGATTAACTAAATTACCTCTATTAATAATTGACCTTAATCTCATTACTAATGTCATCTTCACGTTCCTCGGTGGTGAGAAGATGCCTTAGCATTTTTTTGTTCTATAGTAACATAATAAACTAAAACTACTTTTTACTTAAAAGAACCTCAAAGACATTGAAAATTTTTCATAGTTAACTGAAAGAAAAATATCAAAATGCTTACATTCGTTGTCTTTTTTTCTTCCTAAGAATAAGTTATTGAAAAAAATTTGTTAAGAATCAATCTCTTTTTTTTTTTGTTTATCAAAGAAAGAGGTAGCAATAATTACCTTTAAAATCCTTTATAGAACAGATTCTTATAAATTTATTGTTGCCTCAATTGTTGTTCACAATGCTTTGATTATCTATTCTTTTGAATAATTAAGCTGAGGAAAATCAATTGACATCTTCAATATATATCCTGCAAATAAAAGATCAAATTAGAAGACGATAAAACTAAGTCTGGATAAAAAATAATTTTAGACGTGTATCAATTTTTTGTTGGTACATTCAAAAGCCCTTCAAAAAGTTATGAAGAAGACAAATAAAAAAAAGAGAGGAAAGAGCAAATAAAAGAATCAAATTAATTGACTGAAATTATAGAAGATGAATACATATATAGATGACACGATTTGGAAGTTATATAGATGGCATGATTTGCCTTTGAACGTGTGGTAGTGCTGTGTGGTAGTGCTTTGAGAGAATCTAGGAATTTGTATTTTGCGGTTTAAAAAAGTTATGGATCGAAAGATTTTTTGGGTTAAAGTTTTATTTCACGTTACGTTTTTTATATTTGTCTAACTGCTCAATTTTTATCTTTTATTTAGTTAATTTTTATTTGATATATCCATGTGTCATAATACAATTGGCCGTGCGACTTCTGCTTTAGTATATAAGAGATAAGTTTTACTTTTACCCAAGTGTTTTTCTTTACATGTGGTATATTTGATCGAATGTAAAATTTATCTGTGTGTGTTTTGGCTTTTTCTGGTGTTTTTATATCTACGAGTAGCACTGCCTGTCGTTTCTATTTCTGACCTGTCAATTCCTCTCGACCATCATATATATTCGTGGGCTTAATAAAAAGGCCCATGCTGGAGTCTTAAAGTTATTATATTTGGGCTCTAGTCATGCAGCTACTACTCGGCTTAAATAAATTCTGGGCTTTTATAGGCCCGTTTTGTTATACCAAATAAATAGAAAGTAGTGCACGTGCGTAAAGGTCCACGTTAACGTGGCATTAGTATAAAACATTCCTTTCGTCATACCTTCAAAAAATGATTTGGTTGCCATGGCGGACTTGACCAAGCTGTACAATTTGGTACGACGTCATTTTACGTACTATTAACAAACGACAAGCTTAACGACTAACCAGAATTATTGTATTTGTATACGATCGTCGATTACTGATCACGTATCAATATATATATATATATATATATATGTGTGTATATTATATGTGAAAAAAAAGGAAAAAAAATATTTATCTAACAATTGCACGTTTTTTTCCTTCTTCGTTGACTTTATTGAAAGAAGAATGTGAGACCAAATTGTCAAAATTAAATAAGTTTTTGTTGTAAATAACGTATTTAATTAACCGCTGATTAAGGAACCGACTAATCTTTGATTTATACGAGGGCAATTAAGCTTTAAAGACGTGTTTATTAGTCGGACGTTTTGTCCCATTAACCTTTTAATTGACCTTCGAGGCTTCGAAAAGGGTTCATGCACGTCACGTACGATCATCCGTACTAATATAGACAAAAATATTAGCAGCTATACACTTTAGTATTTTACATTATCACCAATCGAATTTTCACCTTTTAACACCCACTTATTTCACAGTCAGCAGTAGCACCCAAGTTATATATGAATTTAAATAATAATGACACTAATATAAGAATGGACATCTTTAAGATAGTTCTTTTTGTTGTTAAAAATATATTGCCCTTTTATTTGTTTACCGTAATCAAATGAAGTCACTAGCTCTAAAATTTTGATTATAAACAAAAATCAACTTGGTTGCATGTATTTTGTTTGTTCAATGATTTTCACCTGTATAATCAATTTATCATCTGTGTTGCCCATTAATGAAAGATTTCAGGTACAATTATATTGCAACAATGCTGTATACCATAAGTAAGATAATCAACCCACGTTTCAACAATTTATTATTGTTTCAACGCACACTATTATTTAGGGGTGGACACGGATCAGATATCCAGGTTTTTCGAGGTATTTGTGAATTATTATGAATGTTATGGATATCTAATTTTGGTATTTACTTTGCTTCGGAAAAATACGGATATCCAGAAAAACAGATATTCGGAAATAAATAGATATTTGCGGATACTTACGAATATTTACGGAAATCTCATCCATTTTGATTTACACAAATAATCTTAAAATTTTGTACAAATTTCCTTTGCAAAATATTTTGCATGATATATAAAATAAAAATTAAAAGAACTAGTGAATTTTCATATTTTTGTATTTTTTTAAGTTCAAGTTACAATTATAATAATACAAAACTGAAGAAAAAAATATAATTATCAATATTTTTTTTCTCTTTTTATGTAATATTTTTATAAAAGTAATAATGTGAATAGAAATTGTTCAAAAACATGTGTTAGAATAATAATTATATAATTTTATACATTAAAACCTTTAAATATAATCAAAATATACATATATTTATATATTTCCGGATCAGATCAGATATCCGCTTCCCAAAATTTTAATATTTGTGATTTGCTTCGATTTTAACGGATATTGCTTTTTAGTATTTATTTTGATTCGAAAGTTTACGGATATCCAAAATTTTTGGATTGAATCGAAACGAATAACAAATCGAATCAAATTTAACGGATAAAATGCCCAACCCTACTATTATTATTGAACCAGAACTCGCATAATGTCGCAGTTTCAAATACAAGACTAGTTCTTTTTTTTTTTTGGAGTAGATACAATACGAGTCAAGACCCAATGAGACAAATATTCAAGGTAAGTTTTTTTTTTTCTTTTGAAATTAAGGACCCAAACAAACATTCAAGAATGCTGAATACCATAAGTAAGATAATCAACCCATGTTTCAACATTTTGTTATTGTTTCAAATGCACGCTATCATTAAAACAGAACTTTACATGATGCAAAACCGTCTCAAATAAATTTTAAACCTTATTCAAAAAAAAGTTAATAATATATTTATAATTTAATGAATTTTTTTAAAAGTTAATAATTATGTTTGATGTTTCTTTAAAAAATATAAGTTCTGATCTAGCAATATATCTAATTTTTTTTAAAAAAATTATCATAATTTATCTATATATTTCTTAAAATATTTATTTTTTTTTTAATTTTTTTAATTTTATGTTTAGGTCATGTTCGACCGCTACACTTACACATGCTATTAGACGACCCTGACATGATGTCTCAGTTTCAAATACAATATGTGTTTATATGTGTCTTTTCGGAATATATACCATAAGAGTTAGGACCGAACAAATTTGTTTGAATCCTAAGTCATATTGTATTTATTCAATAAAACCTTGTGTTGTATTTGAAACTGAGACATTATGCGAAGTTTGGTTTTAATGATTATCCCCTATATATTAATTGAGAATCATTTAAGAAGTTGTAACCTTAAATTTGTAAGAATTAAAAATAACCACAATCCTATGTGGCATAGCTCTTTGGCTTCTATTTCAAATCTCAAGGATTCTAGAGCATGTGATATAATGTATAGTCTAAAAATTATACTCTCTAGCAATATAATATTTCGTAGGCTATAGTTGATCGCATATATCAAATATTTATTGTTTTGTATGCTTTCCTTAAATAAACCTACGGAATTACCTAATATGATTAAAATATATATATGACAATTAATGATTTTAAACAATAAAGATTTGATAACAATCTGTATACTTTTTTCTCATTTTGTTTATTTCTTTATTATTAAAATAAATTACAAAATTACCTTAATCATATAATAAAAATCTAGATTTTTTTTGTGTTTGTTGTATTTCGAATTTTTGAAAATGAGTATAAATTACTAAAACTGTTAAAAGTCCCACATAAACTTTTAAGTTCAAAGTTTTAATTTTTTTTCTATATTAAATTATAATGATTATAAGACCATATGAAGAAATAATTTTAGTTTATATATATATTTCATATCGTTTGTATTAAACTATACATCGTATGAAAATACATAATTATATTTTGATATTTGCCTTGAACATATATTGAAACTAGATCTTGATCGGCGCACCGACGCGGATTTAATTTAATTTAGGAAATCATACTATACTCATAGTCATCGG